TCTAAATGTAAAACATACCTTCTAGGTCAGTGGTCGGCAAACTCATTAGTCAACAGAGCCAAATATCAACAGTACTTCTTCAAAATAGACTCACCCAGGCTGAAAACCGACTTCTGCACATGGGCCACGAAGTTTCAATCGCACTGTACATGCGCGCCCACACGTGGTATTTTGTGGAAGAGCCACACTCAAGGGGCCAAAGAGCCGGCTAGACTCACCCAGGCTGAAAACCGACTTCTGCACATGGGCCACGAAGTTTCAATCGCACTGTACATGCGCGCCCACACGTGGTATTTTGTGGAAGAGCCACACTCAAGGGGCCAAAGAGCCGCATGTGGCTCACGAACTGCGGTTTGCCAACCACTGTTCTATACCATTGATATCCATCTATTGGGTATGTCTGTTACCTCTCTCTAAGCTGTTATTACTTCTCTGACATAGATTTTCTTGCTTATAAGAACCAGATTATATTCCTTTTTTCTCTTTGACATTTCTTACTTCAACTCTGTTTCCTTTACAACCCTAACTCTTTAATGCCACTTCCTTCTAGTTTTTCTTGATCTTTTTTGCCTGCCTCTCCTCCTTTCCTTCCTCTGAATTCCCAAAGGATATCTGTCTCTGTATTATAAAGGTAGGCATTCTGTACTTTGTATTTTAATGATATACATCCATTATCTCCTCTACTAAAGCCAAGTCATGTAACTTGGCTTATGTATGCTATCTCTTTAGATCTCATTTATGTTAAAGTATGAGTAGTTTCTCTTTATTTCCATATATTTCATTTTTGTTGTTGTTGTTCTACAGACAAGTATACAAATGAAAGTACCTTAATGGAATTACCCCAAATCTTTGGAGATCAGACTACTACAGGGAAAACCTAAATAGATTTACTCACCAGGAAGTAAACATAAAGTTTTTAGAATGATGGGAGGAGGAAAGAGGAATTTCAAGAAGGAGAAAAAGTTAAAGAATAGTGAATTATATCGGCTACATGTAATTATTGCAAAGAAGACCAGAATATGGGGGAGGGCGCGGAATATGAATGTCTTACCATTTAGAGGCAACCACTGTTGACCCTATTGCATATGTCTGACCTTTTCTGTTTGAAAATATGTTTGTTATAGCCCTGGCTGATGTGGCTCAGTTAGCTGGACGTCCTCCTATGCACTGAAAGGTTGCCGTTTCATTCCTGATCAGGGCACATCTGATCAGGGCACATCAAAGTTGCCAATGTCAATATTAAAGGGAGAAAAATTTAATTCTGTTACAGTAGCTTTGAGGTTTTTTAACAAAGGCTAATGTCACTTTGCTTTCCTTTCAACCCTGTAGTTTACGATTAAGCTGATTTAGATGAGACAGGCTCAATCCCTCATAGAGGGCACTTTCACATAGATGTTTCTCTCTCTCTCCTCCCTTCCTCTTAAAAAAAATCAATAAATTTTTTAAAAGAAAATATCTTTATTATTAAAACAATACAAGTACGTACTCCTTATAAAAATTCAAACAGTGTAGAAATATTTAGAATTAACAGATTTTCCTTTTTCTTCCTTCTCAGTTCCTCTTTCTCCATGGGGAACATCTGTTTATAGTATTTGTATAAATACAAACCCTCTTGTTATAATCGGTGTATATGGGATTGTGTTATTCACTAACTTGATTTTTTTCTACTTAGAATATACGAAAAATCTTTCCAAATTGTAGACCTCTTGCATTTTAAAAGTGATAGGATAGAATTTTTTTAAATAAATGCCCATATTAAAAAATTCCAATAGTGCTGAAAAGGATTGAGTAGAATGGTCATCCAGTCCCATGCCTATTACCTTAATTTTTGTATATCGTTTCAGAAATATTTTATGCTTTTTAAGGTTCTCTTTCTTTTCTTCCTTTCTTTCCTTTTTCTTTTATTTTTAACACAAATGGGATCATATTGTCATATATAGAAAAACCTGAACATTTTTCCCTATTAACATATTATTTAAGAACTGTTCTTATACTGTGTAATGACTATGATTTTTCATCATATGATGTACTATAACTTACTTAACCTTTCTCTGATTATTAGATGCTTACATTTCAGTTTTTCACTATTATGTTAAAGCCTTTTAAATTCATGGTTAAGCCCTATCCAGTTTGGCTCAGTGGATAGAGCATCAGCCTGCGTACTGAAAGGTCCCATGTTCGATTCCGGTCAAGGGCATATGCTCAGGTTGTGGCTTGATCCCCAGTAAGGGGCGTGCAGGAGTAAGCCAATCAATAATTCTGTCTCATCATTGATGTTTCTATCTCTCTCTTCCTCTCCCTTCCTCTCTGAAATCAATAAAAGTATATTAAAGAATTCATAGTTAACAAATAAAATTCGTACTTAAGTGCTTGAATTCACTCGTGTTTGGATTGCTTTGGAGCAAAAGCTTAAAATTAGAAGAATGAAAAGGAAAGGTTGAGTTTATTTTCAGTTGCACTTTGACTTTCAAAAACTAATGGAAATCAAAGTCCAATTTTGGCTGAATGTACTTTCAAATTGCAAAATATAAATATCTAGTTTATTATACTTTTTTTCAGGTTTATATTAATGTGTAAGCTGTCCAGTTACTAAACCCTTGTTTGAGTTCTATGATTCTATGTAAATTTTTGCAATAGAGGCACAATTATCAGCATTTAATGTAAAATTTGTGAAATGATAGGTAATAGATTTTTATTTTTGTTTTTTAATCAGTGACTTTTTTGAACGAACCATTCTGTGCAACAGTCTTGTGTGGAGTTGTGCTGTGACGGGTAGACCTGGACTGACCTATCAGGAAGCACTTGAGTCAGAAAAAAGAGCAAGACAGAATCTTCAGAGTTTTCCAGAACCACTAATTATTCCAGTTTTATACTTGACCAACCTTACCCATCGTTCACGCTTACATGAAATTTGTGATGATATTTTTGCATATATCAAGGATCGATATTTTGTTGAAGAAACTGTGGAAGTCATTAGGAACAATGGTGCAAGGTAAAGTATTTTTAATTTGTTTTTGATCTGCAGATACCCCCATTGCGTAAAATCCAAGATACACAAAAGGCTGAAATGAAGAAAGCTTCCCTTTTACTATCCTCCAGCTACCCTGTTACCCTTCCCACAGAGCTCTAGTGTTAGTTTCTTACATATTTTTCTAAAGCTAATATTTATGTAGACCACCAAAAACACGCACAGGCAGGCGCGCGTGCACAAATACACACACACGCACACGCACACGCACACACACACACACACACACACACACAATTTTGAGCCCACTTTAATACAAAAGGTAACACACTATACTGTATCTTTCATCTTGATTTTGATGAATAATTGGATACTTTTTAAAATTAATTGTAGAAGCAACAAATGGTAAAAATTGAAGAATTTTTCATGTCCAGAAAAAGTTATATCTTTAGCTCCAGCTGGTTTGGCTCAGTGGATATCATGTTGGCCTGTGGACTGAAGGGTGCCAGGTTTGATTCCAGTCAAGGGCACATGCCCGGGTTAAAGGCTCGATCCCCAGTAGGGAGTATGCAGGGGGCAGCTGATCAGTGATTCTCTTTCATCACTGATGTTTTTATCTCTCCCTCTCCCTTCCTCTCTTAAATAAATAAATAAATAAATGTATGTTATATCTTTATTTTGGGGGGAGAGATTAACATGTCACCAGTAATCTCACCAAGAACATACCCTTTTAAAAACAAATCAAATTATAAATACTGTTTTGGAGTATGTTTTATGGTTTTTGGTGATATACTTAGAAAACAGATTTTTGTGTTCAATCTGTATCACTAAAAGAAATAATAAGATCATTTCTGGGGAGGACAGTTTTTTTCTTCTTATAGTTACTGTTTTTATTTGACTTATGCCAGAAATGTTTTCTGAATTACAAATCATTGAGATGCATTAAACTTTAACATTAGGAATATAGCTTACATTTAAAAATGTATTGGTTCATTGTGTTTTATATAGTTTTTTTTTTATATATATACCTTATTGATTTTTTACAGAGAGGAAAGGAGAGGGATAGGGAGTTAGAAACATCGATGAGAGAGAAACATCGATCAGCTGCCTCCTGCACACTCCCTACTGGGTTTGTGCCCGCAACCAAGGTACATGCCCTTGACCAGAATCGAACCTGGGACCCTTGAGTCTGCAGGCCAATGCTCTGTCCACTGAGCCAAACCGGTTAGGCCTGTTTTTTTGTTGTTGTTGTTTTTTAATAATACTTTAAAAATGGATTTCAAGTATTTGTAGCTGTTAACAGTAGTATACTAGGTTATATTGCAGAAATGGGAAATTTGGGAGTCACAGTTATTCACCAGGAAACATACCTCTTCTTGCTTTAAATGATAAAGAAGGCTTTAAATGGTAAAGTATGAGAAATTAGTATTTTCTGCAAACTTTTAAGGCTTAATTTTCATAATACACATTGACCATTCTTAATCTCTATGCAGGAAAAGAGAAATTGTGGAAGACTCCTTACTTTTTGCCTTTATCAGGAGCCTCAGGACGTAATATTATGAGTTTAGCCATCTTTGCTCTCAGCTCAGGCCTAGATAGTTCTGATTGCTCTGATATTGTGTTTCACATGTTGCTTAGTGATTGTAAGTATCACTTATAGGCTAAACACTGGTTTGGTACTGGGGATACAAAAAGGATTAAGATGCCCTTTAAGATTCAGTTAAGAAAGAGACAACCATTTCAACTTGCCAAGTATTAAAATTAATGTATGAATGAAGTAATTCAGGAGCATCCAGGTTCAGAATGCCACAAAGGCTAGGTCTGGGTTCCCTGCTCTCGTGCTAACACTAGATATTTTAGTTTTTTAGTCTTTGCCAGATCTGATGATATCTCAGTGTCTGTTTGTTCAGGTTCTTTGCCCATTTTTCTTTTGGCTTGATTGTCTTCAGTAGATTTGTGAGAGCTATTTATTAAATACTAGGCATATTATACTTCTGTCTTACTGTTGTAAATATTTTGCCATTTCACTTTTTGTTTTTTCTTAACGATGCAGTTAGTATAAATTTTTTAAAATGTGTATGAACAATATAATATAATTAAGAAATAAAGAATAAAAGTGCAATCAATAGTTATGCCCTTGGCTTTAATATAATATTTTTATCTTTGATTTTTGTTTATAGTTTGGGAAAAGTTATAAACTTCTAATTTTATGGGAGGCAGAATAGTGTGATAGTGAAGGATCTAGGCTTTGGAGTCAGACTGCCTTTTTGAACAATTGGCATACTTTCAGGTTATTATGAGACTATGTTGGGGGGTATGCATTTTGAATTGCTACATAAATAGAATATAGTAGTAGCATTTTACCATGCGGGTGGGGTGGGATGATAAGGCTGCTATTGGCCAAATAGGCTTATATGGAAGTTAATATTTTTCTTCTATTACTCACTAGCTTTTCTATTAAAATTTAAATTTTGTTATAATTAAGCTTCAAGCCTGACTTAAGATTTCTGCTACTTTAGACCTTGAGTTTCTGAGTACACCCTTTCTTTTTACCCTTTTCACTTAAATCTCAGTTAAAATAATTTTAATATGGAAACTTGCCTAATGACTAGATTTCCTTTTGGTTGGAATGGTGCCTCCACCATCTACTTACCACCTGCATAACTTTTTAACATCACTCATCTCTCTTTTGCATACTTAGAATTATTGTGAAGATAAACTGAGATGCTGTATGTGAAGTGCCAGGCAAATAGCACGTGCTCAATAAATAAGTTAAAAAGTTCATCTTTTTCCATTTTGATTTTTGAGTTCTCTGTCATGCTTATAAACTCTTATTCTAATTGTAGTTTCTGGGATTTCTATTTGGGTTTTTGTTTTTATAAATTGGATTGTAGGGTGGTGGTCTAAGCTGTTTAGATAGCCAAGGACCTTCTCAAGTCAGTGACCATTCCTGTGTTTCTGGCACCTTTAAATAGTGCTGTCCTGTCCTGTGGGGACAGCTTTTAAGATGACTCTTGTAATGTATTCTCTTGCTTCCGTGTGTAGTGGTGAGAGTGTCTGTCCCTTTTAATAAACCATAGTTAATAGTCCTGATTTCATTATTATACTAGAGGCCCAGTGCACAAAATTTGTGCACTTGGGGGAGGGGTCCCTTAGACCAGCCTGCGCACTCTTGCAGTCCAGGACCCCTCGCTCCTAACTGCCCGCCTGCTGTGGAGGCAGGAGGGGCTCCTGCCACCGCCACTGCATTCACCAGCCATGTGCTGGCTCCTGGCTAACCAGTGCTCCCCTGTGGGAGCGCACTGACCACCAGGGGGCAGCTACTGTGTTAGCATCTGCCCCCTGGTGGTCAGTGCGCATCATAGCGACTGGTTGTTCCAGCGGTCGTTCCACCGTTCGATCGTTTTGCATATTAGGGTTTTATTATATAGGAGAGGATTAGTGACTTTCCTTGCTGTTTTCCATGGAGATGTTTTAAGGATAATATATTAGGTACAGGCCATCTTAAATCTCCAAGCTGCTGCAACCCAGTAAAATAAAGATCTTTGTAAATTAATATTAGAGAAGGAAAAAAAAACTATTACATTAATATGAGGAAATGAGTTGGCATGATGTTTTTCATTTGGACTGTGTTCTAGACCCCCAAGAATACATGTCCCTTCTGGCGTCACATCTACTTGTGTAACTTTTGGTATTGAGTTCAATTTTGGGATGATGGAAGTGGTAAGATCCTGGCATCCTCAAAGAGGGGCTAGGATAAGTCCAGCTTCTGTGATGAGAGAAAATCCAGGTTGACTTTCCTAAGTATTCTGTTGTTGTTTTTTCATCCTCACCTGAGGATACATTTATTGATTTTAGAGAGCAAGAGAGAGAAACATCAATTAGTTGCCTCCTATTTATGTCTCGACCGGGGATTGAACCTTCAGTCCAGGTATTTGCCCTGATTTAGAATTGAACCCACAGCCTTTTGCTGTATGAAACCACTCTCCAACCAACTGAGCTTCCCCCCGCCTCCCCGCCCAAGGCATTCCT